ACCCTTTAAGGCCCCTCTTCCTCCCACCCTCCAAAAATGGAACTTCAATTTATTTTTTTTTTACCTCAAAATGGTCCTCTTCCCCCAGGTTTTAACTATGGGCAACTTTGGGCTTGAAAATATCTTAACTTCACAGATTTAACCAAATTCTGGGATATATTACTATTAAAAAACTGATTTGTAATAACCACCCCCCTGGAATAACTTCCTTCACAAGGCCTTTCTCAGTCTCCTGCCAACCAGACTTGGGCTCCAGTCGAGGCTTGAAACAATGAGCTTCTGTTTTCAAGATGAGAAAACACTAGAATGATAACAAACTGAGAAGTTAAACCATTTCAGACCTGCTCATACCAGTGTGAGAGATGCTTGTCTAAAATGGAATGACTTTAACAGGTCAGTTAAGCTGGTGAAAGCCATGACAAAAAGGAAACATTTGTTCTGCGTCAGGCACTGCATCAGGCAGCAGTGATACCTTGTTCTTAGGGGGAAAAAAAGGAATCAAAGTAATAGGTCACTGAGCTTTATTCTTTTGCTGACTAAATTTATCATGCTAGATTTTTTTCCTGTGACAGTCACAACCTCCTTAGCCTATTTTTACATTTTGCTTCTCTTTTAGATCTACCTCCTCAATGCAGATGTTGCTCCACATGCTGTTCTCACCAATTCAGTAACATCCTGTTCCTGATGAGTTTCTGGTTCCTCTTGGCTGGTTTTATACACATTCATGTGTATAAAAAATGTGATTCAAATATGATATGAAACTATTTCTGTGCAAAAACTAGATCAGTTTATTACACAATAAAAAGTGCTGAGCACAGCCTTCAACAATTCTTACAGCAATTCCTCTGGTTTTCCTTGCCCCATCCTCAAGAGAACTCCAACTACACATGGACTTCATTGCTCTCACTGGCTCCACTACTGATATTCAGTTTTTAACCAGAGAATTTATACCAGATTACTGAATTATTAAGCATGGAAGCTCTAGATTTTTATTGTTATCTCCCTGTGTTTCTTGCAGGTAATTTTTGCTTTTTAGCATCTCTTCTTCTATGGGTACACTCAGTGACTATTTTTAGACCTCTGCAAATTTCCTCTAACACCTATAATTTTTGCTTCAATCTTTTCTTTTCTAAAATTGATTAATTACTCAGTAAAGCATATACTGGGCAAGTATTAAATCATTCTACAACTGTGGCATTTTTCATGTTTTCATGTCCCTTTGTGATTTGATTATGGGAGTTTAAATGAGCGTTTCAGACACACACAAATTCACTCTGATGGCCTCACTTTTCTTGCAGTAAAATACAAGATTAAACAAATTATTTTATAGCAGAAAGAGCAGAAACTCTCAAGCCAGAAGATTAGAACAAGTTAAGGCTTGTCATAGATGCTGCCCTGTTAATTGTTCAGAGGGCAACCAGAGGCCAAATTCTCTGCCACAGAAAGCCAGGCAATGTGGTATTCACATATCTTCTGAACAGAGAGAGACATAACTGTCCCAGAAAAATCCTGGGAAGCTGTGAGGAGCTGTAGGAAACTTAGAAGAATTCAAACAATTATTATCTCCCTTTCTGTAACCATTGTTTATAGATATGATTCTCCAGAGTGTGTGATTCCTAATTCACCAATAGTGTGAGAGAAGATTGGTAAAAGCCAAACAGGTCTTAAGACCACCATTGTTTCTGTAAGAACTATGATTTCTAATAATAAAGTGTTTTTTCATGCCTTCTGATGATGGAGTCTCTACCACTTTCTCTGTCCCTGATACCCCTTCAGTGATAAGGCAACTGCAAGTTGGGGTCATCGGCCTCTTCTTCTATGGCCTAAAAAGGGCCAACAAACCAAAAACAAGGATTTACAGTAGCACCAAAGGTACAGTGAACATCCACTGTCAAAATACCTGTCATGTCTGTTTTTGAGAAACCACTGAAGCAAAGTCCACACAACACTGGACCCTCCAACCATAACCAATGCCTGCTTTCATGCTGCAAGAGAACTGCAATCCCAGAATGGCACAACTAAACATTATGAGGAGAAAAGTAGTGCTTAGAGAGTTAATACAACCTGACAGTTCCTTAGGGTACCATCTAATTACAGCATTAAAAGGCATTTACCAATTTTTATGTAAGCAACCCATCAACAGACAGCTGCTTACTTGTATTTGAAAAAATGTCCTTTCACAGGAGAATGTTTGTCTTGCATACCTGATAACTAAAAATTTAGTTATAATGGAATATTAAAACAGACTGGATATTGCAAATGGTTGACAATCCAGTCCTTTAGCAACAGTGCCTTCATGTGTTTATTATAGGCATTTTATTATTTTAAAGCTAAGATTCAACCACGTTTTATAGTTGTAATTCTGTCCTCCTACACATCCACAAGTAAATTAGGTCAATTCCAAACTATTTGTAAAACCTCCTACACAGAAAGCAGTTTGAGATTTTAAAACATAGTAAGTTTAAAATAAACAAAGTCAACCTACCAGCGTCACAAGCCTAGTGAACTGTCAATTTTTTGTTCTAGCCTAATAGGGCATCCCAAAGTATTATGAACCATACTGTGAGAATGACTGTCCTTGGCCAGAGATTGCATGCATACCACATTTCATAACATTTTAATAATGTTTATTATGTAAGTTTCCCTAATTAACTTCTAAATGTATTTCTACATTTGGCATCTGTAACATCCTGTGGCAATGAGTTCCAATATGTAATTATGTGTTGCATGAAAAAACGCTTATTTTAAACCTACTGCTGGGTAAGAGCTAGGAGTCCCAAAAATGTGTTAGAAGAAATGATGAATAATCATGCTCTCCCCATCCTCTCCATAACATTAGTAGCTTTATATACCTCTTGTATTTCTTCTGACCTCATTTCTTTTTCCAAGCTGCAGAGTTCTAATAATCTTGTTCAAACACAGGTATCTCTTTCCCCACACATAACCTGGTTTGCTCTCATTAAAAGAAAGGACATCTGCAATTGTTTGTAATATTCCAGATGGGCCATGGATATCATCATGATGTTTGTATAGAACAGCAATGCAATTGCAAGCCCTCTTTTTTGAGTAGCAACAATTTAGACTGCCATGCATGTTAGTTACCCAGTTCCCTCCTGCAGGCATTATTGAATAACATTGTATAGGTAATTCACTTGCCATTCCACTAATTTTTTATCTTCCATTATCTTCCCACAACTGTTCACGCTCACAGATTTGGGGGATCTTTATATTGTGGATGCTGTATGAATATAAGCTGCTGCTTTGTTGTTTAGCTGCTTTCACAGATTTATTAAAGCAGCAAAGATCTTCATATAGATCATTGTAGGAGTCTATTCTTGGTTTGTGATAACTGATCTTCTATTCTCATCCTTTTTTCTCCTATCTTAAATAGTTATTTACGTGACAGGACTTCTCACTCTTATGACTATATGATTTCTTCAAGAAACTTTGGCTGCTGCTGTCATGGTTGCTTAAGATGGTTAATTCATGTGGGATTTACAGTTCTAACACAACCATGAACTCACATCCAAGCAAGCCATAATCTGTCTACAACAATCACGTTGGCTCTTCTTTGTTGTTTTATGTTGTATGTGTACATGTTCATTTTTCATATTTATTAACACATCTTATTTGATTCTATGAAGTTTTAATTTTTATAGAGACCAAAATAAAACTTTTTTGGCTGTAGCTTCTTGTAAATTATGCTACATTTCCAAACTCAGTGATTACAGATGCAAATTACTCGAGACCTGTTGAGTGTACCCTGATTAATTTATTTTTTAATCAGCTTGCTCTAGATGTTTTCCCCTAATACTTGAGTGTCAAGCAGACCACCAGAGACATCTTAAGTAGGCACTAGTGCAAAAAGCTTAATATGCCCTGTATAATTAACATGAATGCAAAAAGTGTCTTTGTGAGATTTGGTGCTAAACACTTCTCTTCTGCTAGTGTACTCCCAATGTCTTGATCCTTTCTGGGCCTGGAGATTGTTAGGTTTCTTGCTTCTGATGTGTCTGAAAAATTTATCAAAGCTCTTTCTGTGCCTTTCTTCTGGCTTTCACACATAACTTACCAGTTTTGTGTCCAAGTGTTTCCCACACTGGCTTACAAGTCCTACTTTATGAAGTCTTTCTTTACCTGTTACAGATTTCCCTCCTGTGCAGTTTAATGATACTGAGTCTGGGGCATTTTTTCTTCCAGTATGACAGATGGCAGTGTTTACTCTAACATTTAATATGGTAACTCTTGATACCACTAAAAGCCTTATCCTTTAAGCTGTTTCTTTTAACAATTTCCAAACATGCATGCATGCTTAGGCATAGTTTTCTCTTTAAAATATTATGGCAACATATTTTATACTTGCTCTTAAAACAATATGGCAACCATATTCATTATGATTAGTCATGTAGGGCAGCCCAACAATAATTTCATCTTAAACAAGGTCTTGCACATTGCGTATTTGTCAAGAGCTACTCCTGTGATGAGCTGACAGCTTGTCAGAAAACTCAATACATCATTCTTCACTTCCGCATTTACCGAGTCTTTATACTCATAACAAAACCATGAAAAAGCAGGAAATGTTTCTTTCCTCAGCATCCTTTAGCATTCAGAAATGTTCCACCTCATTAATATGGTTAATCTAACCCTCACCTTGCTGTGATCTATTTGCACACATATTCAAACCATAACTGTGCTTTCTTGTCCAGACATACATAGCCTTGACCATAAACCCTAACACAATAATGCATCTGCCAGAACACAGTTTGTATTCTCATGTCTATAAAAATGGCAAGTTTACCCCTATATCAACATCCTCTAGTACCAATTTACTGTGTTGCCAAGTATGCCAACATCTGGATTACAAACCAGCATTCTAGCTCACACTCAATTTTTCACCTTTCAGACTTTGTCCAGAAGACCATCTGTTGTTATAACTGCTAATGGTCTGATTGATTTTTTTTCTGATTCTTTATAAAAAGAAGCAATTGGGAAATACATACATGACGGTGTTAATCCCTGACAGTTGTTGAAACATCTGCAGACCACAACCCACAATTAAGGCTCTTCGAGTTGGAGGGTATGTTAGCATTCTGCAGATCACAGGTCCAGCTTAAAAAAAAAAACAAGACAACAACAAAAGAATACATAATAGTTCTTAAGTGATTGCTATCAAGACAATGTTGCCAGGCATAGCAGATTTGTACCTTAGTTTCAAGCAAACTTGTATTATTTCAATTATTTTTGAACAATATTATCATTTCAGTTCTGTTTTTCTGCACTGTACTACAAAGAGGATTATGAGGAAGCCCAAGCAAAAAATGAAACCACTTTTGTACAGTGTCTACCACTGGTGTGAAATGTACTGAAAGATTGGCTGCACCTGAATGCACTCAAAAGTTACCACAAAATATCACTCTTGTTTCCTTTCTAAAAGCTTCCATTTTTATTGACAGGTTATTTCAGAAATACCATTACTCAGGTCTGGATATTGGAGATAAAGTGTTCTCCTTAGTCCCCAAAAGACCCAATTTCCACAGAGCAGTTGCAGGTGTGGGTACTTGGAAGGTACTGGACAGATTTATTCTGCACAGCTTCAAGGCCAGCAGAGGGAGAGCGAAATTAATTACATTTATTCTATACCTTTGGTAGCAATGGCATGAGGCTGAATATAAGATTCAATGAAGAAAAAAACCACAAAAATTTCTGGCTAACAGAAAAAGCTCTAAGACTTTAGAAGTATTCTATTAAAAAAAATACAGAAAGCTATGGGATAATAGGCAAACATTTAAAATTCCTGACCACAGTATTTACTTGAACTCCTCTCTGCCCAGAGTACTGCTTTCAGTGCTTTTTCACAAGAAAAGTCTGGTGAAAAATTCTGTGTTTTATACATCTTGTCACAACTAGCATACTTAGAATATCTAATCACATTATGGATAAGTCAAAATAGTTACCATCAAAGAAAAAAAATAAAAAAGAGAGAGGGGAAGGGGATCTACATATTTATATTTTCACTGTTTTCTGAGCATACAGAAAATATCAGAAGTATTGATTTAGTAAAAAATTCTATATGAGTCTGTTAGTGAAGAACAATTTACATGCAGAATTTCAGCTTCAGAAATCTGGCAAGCTACAAAGAGCTTCAAGAGTTGGACTCAAGAAGAGGGTTTAGATAACATTTTCTTCATTGAAAGATAATCAGACCTGCCTAACAAAAATTTATTTTCATTTAAAATTATGGTATTTCTAATTCATATCTCAATTGTCTCATCATTTAACTTTGCTCCTTTAATAGCAGAATACAGCCTGACAAATTTTCTAGCTGGTTTCCAAGTAACACTAACATTCAATCAGCACACAGTCCCACATGTCCTGCCATTTAGCCACATCATCACCTTAAAATTCTCCAAGTAAAACCAAGAGACAGATACAGTCAATCCACTGATCTCATAAGGTATTCCCAAGCTAGACACATGACATCACTGGGCTGACAAGGATTCCATACTCAAAGTGATATTTCCTCAGTGGAAAAGCACCAAAGCCAGCTGCTAGCAAGGAGTTAGTCCAGAGCTCAAATTTCAGAAAGAAAAAAGATTTACTAAAACATGTTACCCATGAAGTTTAACTCACAAACAACAGCCCTAGGGCTCCCAGATGCCGTGCCACACGTGAGCATGGAGTCTTGGGAGTTAAAAATCTTATCTGGCAACTGATTCTGCAGCATCTCTTGGAAACCGAGGCTGCTGAATGCCATGGGGAGATCTTCCATTCTTCACAAACTCTGTATAAGATCCCTGAGTTCAAAATCTGTCTTTTTTTTGAAGGGACATTTTGGACAACCTACATCTTCAAGGCCACCATCAATGATCCTGCTCACTGAATAAGCTGGAACGCTGCAGCAGGGACTGTTAGGAAAGGAGGCAGAATAATTTTTAATCATTCCTGAATCACTCAGCTATTTGATAGAGGTTTATAAAACTTTATTCACAATACAGCATTGTGCAAAACAATTGGGAAGAAGGCACTAAAATGAATAGTGAGAAATTAAAGCAGCTGCTCTCAGACAATGGTTTGCAACTCAGAGGGAGTCTTGAACTCTCAACAAAGCTCCATCACACAAATCAGTTTGTGCATCTGAAGTGCAGCCCTGCAGAAATGCTGAGACCATATTGTGAAATTTAGATCTTTATGTCAGAACTTTACATTTAAGACCTTTAGAACATCCAGTCAAGCTAAATTCAGTAAGTACTTGAAAATTTTCTGGCTTCTGAATAATTTTATCAGAAAAATGATGCTAAAAATTATCATACTCCACTAACTGTTTAAAAAGTTTTGCTCCAAACATGTACCATGGCAACCACCACATACCAACAGGCATACACAAAATTAAAGGATTTTCTTTCATAAAATTCACAGCCTTCAGGTTTACAAACCAATAAATGGAATGAAAGAAATAAGAAACTGCTAATCTCTGTATTAAAGGAGCTTTACAAACTCAACTAAAAAGCCCAAAGGACTTTGGCTGTGAGGTAACTGATCTCATAACAGCAAATGAGTGTGAAACTTTTTATTAAAATCATCTAGCTCTGAAACTAGCTATATTATATTTGCATTTGTTTATCAGCACTCCTTCCATCCATATTGTTGAGTTCGTATGCCACCATGTTCTTAAACAACTCCAGGCATAATATGGATTTTAAGAACAGAAAATGTGTTTAAAAAATGAAAACAAAAAAAAAGTTCAGAATTAAATACATTTTCTTCTCAAAATAAGTCTTCTGAAAACTTAAATGGCACTTCAGTAGTTTCTGATAACCCTTAAATATGCTGTCAGTTATGACAACAGAGTAAAATAGCACTAAACATTAAAACCATTACACCTTTAAAAAATGGAACAACTTAACTGCCCATAGAACTAGAAGGAAACAGATGATTTAAACATACAGAGAAACAAACAGATTATTTAAACAAACAGAGAAAAAAAATATTTGGCAATTTTTAGAAAGGACAAAATAGGTATTTGTCCCCAAAAAGTCAGTATTTTTGTTAGTGATATTTCTGCCTTAATTGTTGTTGTTTTCATCTAAGATATTTAGACATATTCCTGATCAGAATCACTTCATTTGAACTTGAGAAAACACCAAGATGCTTGTTTTCCTCCTTCTAATCTGTGAATAAAAATGAAGTCAGAATGATGAGACCTCCTAATGCCTCGATGAATTTAATGAGAATAGATTTGGCTGGACTTTTTGTGCTGTTGTTTCTGATAATTACTTTAACTGCAGTACAATTCTTTCACACATAATATTTACAAGGTTCAAAACATGCTACAGTAAAGGGCAGCTGGAGCTTCCTCTGTGAAAAACAACAACATGAGATAAAGAGCAATGGAAAAACAAGGATACTGCTGAAGGTGACATTACTTCAAGTGGTGATCCACAAAGTGGATTGCTGGGATCCAAGTAGATATTTCATAGCATTATCTGTCTACCAAAATAGAATTCATCCTTATAAGCAAAAAGCAAAAATAGAATTGGGAACTTTAGCTTCACATCCAAAAAAAAAACCTTATTAGCTTACACAGAGCCAAACAGGGAAGGAGAAGCTGTTCTTGTCAAAACATTACTTCTGAAAGTGAGTGATACTCCAAACATTATATTTTATGACTGGTTATCTGAAACTTTTAATGGCAGCTTCCTATATTTTAGCAGTTATCTTTGTTACTAGGCATAACCCACAAGTTAGGTTATGGAAATTATGAATCACCTAGTAAGGCATTTTGATTTTCATCAAAAATGAGCAAAATGGATTGTATGGCAATCATAGGAGCTTGGGTATGATCCACAGCCAACTAAAAGATGAGATGATTTTCAAAGGCAACACAACAAAAACCCTAGTTCTAAAATGAGCTTATGTAACGAAAGCTAAAAAGTAGAAAAATTAGTATTAATGAAGTCTTAATATCTGCTTCTGAAAAAGAACCGCATTCACTTCCAGGAAAAAAGAAATGATAGTATAGACATAAAGCCTAAAAATCCCACAGCAAAGGCAGGCAGACATCTGGTGCCTGAAAACCCTGTGATTCCCCATCCCTCATATTATTAGTAGAATAACTGGACAGATTTCACAGCCAGGAATCTATGGTTAGAGACTGGGCCCTGCCAAAGTCATTTGCAGGTTCAAACATTCTTCTGCCAGCTCATCTAGGTAACAGCTTGTAGCAACAGCTTAAAACCTTATAGGGCTCCTGCCAGCATTTTGTACTCTTTGCATTTCCAAAAAAGGCAGGTTTAGCCAGGCAACAACACAGCCACTCATCAGTTTAGCATCAATTAAGCTAAAGATTCAGCTTAGTTTTCTGGATCTTTCTTGTTCAAATACCCTCTCTTCCACTCAGATAAACCTTCAAGGAACTGGTCTACAGCAGGGACCAAAAAAAGAAAGTTTGGGCCTGTGATCTCAATAACAGTGGACAAATATTGGAATTATTTCTGGATTTCTCTTTCTTATAAAATAACAGCTTCCAGTCCAGCCTTCTCTGCACCATCTGCAGAACCCTCCTGCAGAATCTCCCTTCACCTATGACTCCTACTCTAAAGCACTTCCAGCTAGGTATTATTTCCCATGTATGAATAATATACTAAAACTAATATACTTTTCCTCCCCTTGCCTATTATATGGTTATTTCCTAGAAATATCAACTTCATTAATTTTTCCTTTCTGTAAAATTTAACAAATCAAAAGAAAACAGAATTAGCTTTAAGATCAAAACTGCATCAATTATTCTGTGAAGATACAAACCAATTTTACTTAAGTACCATAGTACCGTGCTCTTCCTCACTATCTTATAATGTTTCCATTAACATTGGAAGAGCTACTCCCAGCACTACACGAAAATCCCTACCTCATGTAACTTGTTAACCCTTTGAGGAAGCATGAGACTTTTTTTTTTAAACAGCACAAATCCCCATCAGCCAAGAAGGATAAAGACTGTCAGCTTGCCCAACAGCTGAGTCTTACCATTTTCCATCTTTCCACAACTACACCGTCCAATGGTGTGCATACAGACTGGAAGAAGTACTCACTGGGAACAGCCCTGCCAAGAAGGA